CGACTCCGGTCGAGGCGGTGGGGCCGGGGGGAGCAGCGCGCCAGCAATTTGTCAACCAGCTCCCCATTTTTTTCCCCTCTTGTGCTTCCTCTCTCTCTCTCTCTCTCTCTCTCTCTCTCTCTCTCTCCCCGCACTCCGGAGAGACAACTGGAGACGATCGTGATGAGCACGAGTCTCAACCGTCTCAACATGCGCTACTCGGCGGGGAGTTCATGTTTGGTGCCCACATGCGACCCTATAGAGAGAGAGAGAGAGTTATCCTCTCAGTACAGTCTCAGCACTGGAGAGGTACAATAGTGGCGCCGGGTGGCGCCGTCTGTCTGCAGCCTCCAGAGCGCACGTGCTGGACCACCGCTGGAACCCTCCGGCCCGACGAGTCCCGCGATGCTCCAGCACGCGCGCAGCTGGAGGGAAAGTTATGACCGATCAGGAAGGCACCGTACAGCAGTTGCACTTCTAACGCCAAACGCACCCAGGGGCTTGAGCTGCTCTTGTATCACAAAAGCTTTCCGACACGCTCCCACGCGGCCCGAGCTCGTTCCATCCCCTTCCCCCCCTCTCTCTTCCTCCCTTCCTCCCCTCCCTTCCCCCCTCTCTCTCTCTCTCTCTCTCTCTCTCTCTCTCTCTCTCTCTCTCTGACGGGCATAGGGTGCTTTTCGCGAGGTGGGCTGTCGGGGCTGACCAGCCGACCGGGCAGCGTAGCAGATTTATGTGCATTTAGGGAAATACCCCCTGCTCCCCCCCCCCTGCTCTCCCGCCCTCCTCCACGATCCCCTCAGCAGCAGCCCTCACCTTCGCCCCACTAACCCGGCGGCGTCGCCCGGGCCACCAGCGCCCTACCCCATCAAAACACGCGCAAACAGTGTGAAACTGAATAATTCCTATTAGCCGGTCGCATCCATACCCTGAATGCTCCCCGCTGCTCCTCGGCCCCGGCCCCGTCCCCGGCCCCGGCGGCCCCCGCACTCGCACCCGCCCTCAAGGTCGGGCTGGCGACGCGAACTTTAAGCCGCACCGGCGGATCGGGCGTCGCGGCCGATAACCGCCTGTTACTCGACCTGCCCTTTGGACGGCGTGAATGGCCCCGCCAGGAGCAGCGTCCACGACGACCACACGATGAACTTTAAGACGCTGGGGGGACGCGGGCGACGGAGACGTGGCGACGGAACCAGGAGGGTTTCCCGCGCCCTCGTAATATCGAGGCGGATATATATTTCAAAACAGGGGACCTCTCTTAATAAGAAATAAATATGGATTATTACGAGGATTAGCATATGGAATGCTTATATCCCCCCCCCCCACAAAATACACTTTTTTCATTTCATTCAACCGCAGAACATATATTATAAAACATACTCGAAAGTGGGGGCCGTACATCACGGCGGCCCGAGACGACGCGCGCGTCTCTCCGTGCCGCGGGTGGAGTTATGAACGGGAGGGAGGGAGATGGGAGGGGGGGGGGGAGGGAGGACATAAGAAATTTATTCATTGGCTGAGCGAGGTCGTGATGGCCCTGGGTCCGCGCGGACGCTCCCAGGTGACCCCCCGGCGTGCAGCGCCCCGTGTCAAACTCATTATCTCCCGCTCCGGCCGCTGTGTACCCCCCGCGGGGGTTTCCTGGGGTGGGGGCCCCCCCCCCCCCCCCCAACTCTGAACGTGAGGGAATGCACGCGGCAGCGCGCGGGCCGTTCGGGGCCGGCGCGATTTGGGCGAGCAGCGCACAGAGACACGTTGATGAAATTTCGCCGTCGTCTTCTCCGCGTCGCGTCGCCGCGTCCTGCTCTCCGCAGGCCTCTCTCTCTCTCTCTCTCTCTCTCCCTCTCTCTCTCTCTCTCCCTCTCTCCTTCTCTCTCCCCATTCATCCCCAGGACCCCTCCCGGAAGCCGGAAGCTCTCTCGCGCGCGGGGCGTTGGCGGGGCGCGTGGGGCACACGATATTGTACGCCTGCTTTAACAAGAGGTGAACGCAATTCTTCGCCGGTCGTAGGACCTGGCTATTACCCCTGGGGGTGAATACCCCCCTCCCCCTCCCCTTTCGCATCCTTCCCTCACATTTCCCCTCTCTCGCCTCGCACTTGGGTCCTCCCCCCTCTCTCCCCCCGTGGGACGGTGACACATAATGTTCCGACACAAACCTCATTTGCTGTGTGATAATATGGGCCCTTCACCCTCTGTCATGCCCCCCCTCCTTCCCCGCTCT